CACAAACCTGTCTGAGCTAACCCTAAAGCCCCATAAACCCTAGCCTCTCAAAGCACTGGGCCCTGCACACAGCTGAACCCTCAACCCTTACCTCCTCCAGTCAAGGAGCTGTGCTCCCCGCGTGCTGAAGTCCTCGCCAAGTTCAAGGAGCCTTGTTTCGGGTAGGGGGGGGCGAGGAGCCTTCAGGATTGTAGAAGGTTGTTTTTTATTGGGTTATGACTTCTTGGGCCTGGGGTTTTTGATGTCAAACGTATATGGGGTTCAAAAGTTTTGCGTTTTTTGTAAGAGGATCCTGAATGTTTAGAACAGGGTTTAGGGATATACTGTAGCAAAGCAGAAAGAGACTCTGATGGGAAGTTATATTCAATTATTGTTCTAAGGCTCTTTAAGGCTTTAAAGGCATTGAGGCTGAAGGAGCTCAAGCTCCAAGACCCAGGTTGTGCGGAAGCTGCAGAATCCGACTGCGCTGCTCGCAGTTTTTGAGCCTAAAACACGCGTGACTTCAATGCCAAATGCCAAGCTCAAGACCTCCACCCCCGAAACCTAGTCACCTCAATTGCCCGAAATTCCGAAACTCTTATGGAACCCTCAGTCCTAAACCCTAGGTCCCCAAAGCCCAACAGAAAAAACGTCAATCTCTGTCCAACTTGATGACAGTCCGATCCGACCCAGACGACCCTTTTCGACGCCGGCTTCGTCCTAGCTGAGTCGGAGGGAAAGAGAAGCCCTTCCAGCCCGACTGTTCATGATATAAATCCTGCATTACCTTAAAGGACCCTGAATTATAGTAATTATGGTATCTTCCCCATTATGGGTCTTAAAGGACCCTGAACCATGGGAATTATGGTCGATTCCTCATTATGGGTAATGCAGGATCTAGATCATGAAACCCAAGGGGCGGAGTTGCGAGAGTCCAACTCGCCTGCGGCGTAAAGAAACCGTGAGTCCCAAATGTATTTCATGGTAATCATAACCAATGATTAGCAATAGTTAGAAAGTAGCAGTCGTAGTAGTAAACTCAACACTACTAGTTTCGTACTTACCTTTTTGGAAAAGCCATAGTAAGTATGATAACAGAAATTGTAATGATCATCATAACAAGAACTCCTCGAGGAGTGGAGCCGCCAGAAATTCGGCACCGCCATGGCGCTCTGGGAGACCCCCGAGGCCGCCCACGGTTGCCCTGACTTTCGAGGAGTCAGACGATGAGGGTTTGGGGGGGAGGGTTTAGGGGTTCAGGGGTTTAGGGTTGTTGCGAGAGTCCTGGATGCAAAAGGGGTTTAGGGTTTAGGGGCTTAGGGTTTAGGGTGCAGGGTTTAGGGGTTCAGGGTGAACCCTAAAAGTGCCGGTGGTAGGTTTTTTGAAGGGTGTAGTGAACCCTGAGAGGGTGGGTGTAGGGGTTCAGGGTTTGGGTGGTTCTTATCAAGTCGAGTACAGAGTCGAGTCTTTGCAGGGACTGGGTAGGATGTTAGACGGGTGTGTAGAAGGTTTTCTGATCTTGCACGATGGCTTTACAGCTTTACCCATAGGCCCCATAGTAGTTCCTTTTTGGGGTTCATATTCAGAATCCTATAAGGTAATCCCAAAAGGAACTACTATGGGGCCTCTGGCTACTTAGAATCTCCAAGCTCGTAGGGTTTTATGCTTCGGATATGAAGGGCTTCTTTGTAGCTAAACTCCCTTGCAGGTACGAGACAGGGTCATGTCAGGAAAGCTGGAGAATGATAGAAGTAGCCCAAGAGGAAGGCCACTAAACCCCCGTAACCGTGAAGCTCCAGCCCCGGATCACACTTTGGGGGTTTCCGAAAATAGGGGACCTGAATATAGCACCTTCAATAGCAGGATCCATATCATAAGGACCCCAAAATAAGGTACCCGGTAGATCACCCTAAACCCTAAGCCCTCACTTTTCAGCTTTTGCAGGCAGTCCGGGCTCGAGCTCGTTGGCGAGGGCAGGGCCTCTGGATCTCAGACACCAAGATGCCTCACCCCCAGCTCGTCGAAGCGTCAGAGCTTTGAGATTACGGGCTACTTAGGGTTTTTCGGTTTAGTATTTCTCTGTGCTTGGGGTTTAGAAATGTTTAGGGAGCTGGGCGAAGGTGCAGGGGCAAACCACCCACAAAAACACAACTGCAGGTCGCAGGGATTCGAACAAGCCAACCTCGAACCCCAAGTATGGCGTAACCGTTAGTTCAACCTTTGTAGATAAAACAGAAAAATGCCCAAACCTGCAAGGCAACGCCTTCCTGAATCCGGGCCTCAACCTGTGAAACAATGACTTTCCCCGTCTTGGCAAACTGTCTGGTGCTTAGTAGGCAATGTGGGAATGGATCCCTATGATAGTCCCTTAAGAACCCATTCTCCCATTCCCTACTAAGCACCAGACAGAAAACCATGCTTCGGCGCCTTCTGCGGCTCCAGCTCCCGCATCCTCAGCCGTTTGCCTACGCCGGCGACTCCGCGACGCGATGGGTGGACACCAGCGCTTCTTCCACCCGAGCCTTGGCCAAAAAAGCGTTCTACGATAGCAGCAGGTTGAGGATGGCACACGAGTTAGAAGAATCCGCAGACGCGCAACTATAGCAGTGGCATGATTATTCTTACTTCATGTATGATGCCATACTCACACCCGCAGCCCATAAGATGCTGGGGACGGCCTGGTGTGGTCTGAGAAGTTGAGAGGCTTAGTGTTTACTTCTTGGGTTTGTGTATGGCTGCAGCCCCAACACCTAGGAGACCGAGAAGACTCCACCTGAAGCTTGGATAACCCGGCTTTCCAAGCCTTATTGGGTAGGCGTTTTGGATTTCATATTTTAACTTATTGTTGGACTTGACAGGATCTTGTTTGACGAGAAATTTTCAGAGGATTCTTGGGCCAAGCTAGTGTAACTGGTACCTGGACTGGTTGCCCTACACCTTTTCCCATAAACCCTGAAGCAAAACCACTGGTTGACTCTCTGTCTTTCCATGATCCGCCCTGCAGAGGGACATATCTCAACACAGAGTCACTCCGGCACAAGGATCGCAACCGAGAAGGTCGGAGGGGACAGTAGGCCCTCAGTCCTTGCATGCTCCCAGTCCCTTACGTTCTGGCTTCCCAACCTTACATCCACATTTTTGAAACTGAACCGTAGCATCCACGAATCTTTCGCCTCAAACCCTTGGAGCCCAGCTACAACGTAGCAGATCTCCAAAAAAAGCGTTTAAACCCTCAATGGTCGAAACGCAGGAACTGGTTCTCCCGGTACATTTGGGGTATCATCGCCAGCGTGAACTTGGGCGGCTTCCTCGCTGATCAGCAGCATCCCGACAGTGATATTCAGATATTTCGCGTTGATAAGCGTCTCTAGGATGTAGCGTTATACTACACAGTAGGTTTTATATGAAGGTTTAGGCGAGTGTATACCGGGCTTCTTGGATAGATCGGTGAGTGTATCTTTTCGGTGTAATGGTGCGGCAGTCCCCCCTTTGATACGCGGTTCCGGGAAGAAAGTGACTCCGAGGAAAAGCTCTCAGTCGTAGGATCCCCACAAGGAGCCTGAATCTCTGGCTCTGGCAGGTACGGCGTGGACCGCTCGAAGAATCCCAACATCATGTGGCCCTGGTGGCACGAGATCATGCGCAAGAAGGCTAGCCCGCTTCTGCTCATGGATTCGGGCTTAGGGGTGCAGGGAAGGAGAGATGGCTGAGTTTCAATCAGAGGAAGAGACATAAGCACTTTGCTACAAGGCCAGCTCATGCCTGCAAGCTTTTGATGAGCCTTTGTATTCACTCGTCTCCCGAAAGCCCGAGACCCATCAATGCCTTGACCCATCACCCGAAACCTTGAAGTCAAAGCCCGGGAGCTCAAGCGCTCGAAGCTTCTGGACCTTCGGTCCTAAACCTTGAAAGACCACGCAAGGCCTAAACCTTAAAACAACAGAACTTATGGGGCCGAAAGCCCACAAACCTAGACTCCCCCACCTTGCAGGAGAAGGGCGAAATCCCAATGGACATGCCAGGTTACATGCCCCTAGGCCTTGATTCGCCTGAACAAGATATCCGTTGTGTTCGAGTTGTGGATCTTTTGTTTGGGGGTTCTGGGAGGAAGGGTCCGAGTACCGATATGGTATGGGGACTTTCTGAGTCTAGGGCTCTGGGGGTTTAGGAGTTTCGAGCACCCAGAATTTTCGATTGCAGGGTTTTGGGGCTCCTGGACTTCTGAACTCTAAAACCCAAAACCCTAAATCTTAAACCCTACAAGCCCAAAAAATTCAAATCCCCAGAAACCCATAAAACCCCCAAAACCCTAAAACCCCAAACACCCTAAAACCCCAAATACCCTAACACCCCAAGCACCCTAAAACCCCAAACCCCAAAACCCTAAATCCTTAAACCCTATAAGCCCCAAAAGCCCTAAAACCCCAAAGCCCTAAACCCTATAAGCCGAAAACCCTAAAACCCCTTAAACCCTATAAACCCAAAAACCCTATAAGCCCTAAACCCAAAAACCTTACAACCCCAAAACCCCTCCTCAAACAACCTTAAAACCACAAAAACGCTTCTAAAACACCACAAAAACCCAAAACAGACCCTAAAACACCAAACAAACCCTAAAAACCACAAAAAGCCAACAACAGCACCAAAAGACCTCTTAACGCCCTTAGAATATCCGAGGCTGGCGAAGTTCCGGAACGAGTCCGAGGAGCGCTGGACCGCGGAGCGGAGCCACGAGCCACTCCGAAAGCCTTGGCTGTTTTTGGGTTTTTTTATGGGGTTTAGGGTTTAGGGTTTAGGGTTTAGGGTTTAGGGTTTAGGGTTTTATGGTTTAGGGTTTTATGGGTTTAGGGTTTTTCTCTAGCCTTAATTTTTTGGGGGTGGTTTATAGGGTTTTATAGGGTATTTCTGTAGCCTTGATTGTTGGGGGGCTTTAGGGGGGTTGTATATAGGGTTGTATAGTATAGGGTTTTGGGTGTTTTAGAGTTACAAGTGGGGTAACTCTGTAGCCTTGGCTTTAGGGGGGGCTTTAGGGGTTTTACAGGGGCTTTGGGGGTTTCGGGATTTTTTGGTAGTTTTACAGGGTTTTACAGGATTTTTCGGGTTTGGGGCTTTAGGGCTTTAGGGCTTTAGGGTTTAGGGTTTTTGTGGGTTTAGAGCTTTAGGGATTTAGGGTTTTAGGGTTTAGGGCTTTAGGGTTTTAGGGGTTTAGAGTTTTGATTAAAGGTTATAGTGGTTTCGTAGGGGCTTTAGTGTCATTGGGCTTTGGGTGGTTCTATGGGTTTTAGGCGTTGGGTTCTGTCAGAGTTTAGCTAGGGTGTTTCAAGCTTGAAGGCTTTTAGGGTGTTTTTTCTAGGACCCGGGGTTTCGGGTTCAGGTGTTAATTGTGCCCTTGATGTTTTGGGTTTCTGGGAGAGAGTGTCGATACAACAAAAACTTAGAGCCAGCTCCATGTTGAGCTTGGCAATTTGGGGCTTTAGAGGGTTCATTGGAGGGTTGTGGGAAGATAAGAGTTCAGGATTTGGAGTTTGGGGCCACTGTAAGGATTAGCTGGATGTCAGGGTGCAGCGGGCAATTTGGGCCCTTTTAACTGCCTTTGTTGCGCTTTTTGACGGTAAAGAGTCTTGCAGCGGTTTAGAATTTGAGGGGCGGTTGAATATGACCCCATGAACAGCGCGAAGCTCATGTGGGTAGTGTGGGTGCGAATACTAGCATGAGGAAGTTGTTGTTGGCGGATGTTCTACTGGTGTCTGAGTATTCCAAAGGGCAGTCTCTAAGGGTACGGTTTCTAACGGCGTGATGTTTGCCATCCCACCGTATTTGCAACTGAAAGATCGTCATTACCGGCAAGCAGTTTGGTGTCACTTTCGTTTAGTTTTCCCTCAGTTGTTCTTGATGGTGTCGTTTCTTCTGGGCAGTGGCCTTGTACAGGGTGTCTCCAACGAGGCTGTATTTCAGGCCGACACTCGTGTTGCAAAGAACTGGCACTTCTTACTGCCATTAACTGTTTTTGTCATCGCTATTGTTAGTGTTACAGTCTGTTGGTGTATGGTGCTCGTCATTGATCTTCTTTCTTGTTGTTATTGTTCCTGTCGGGTGTTCTTTCCTTACTGGTATTGCTTTTCTTATTCTTCTCACAACTCTTCTCCTTGGTCTAGGACATTTTCAGGTGGGTAGTTATCGTTATAGGAGCCTTGTAGAAGGTCAATATACCTTTTGGAAGCCTTATAGAAGCCCTATAAAGCCCTAAACTCCCCACCCGTAGTTTCCTTTAACACTACTCTTCTCCTTCGTCGTCTTCTTCACGGTCTTGGCAGCTCCGGCCTGGCCTCCGACAGAAGCCCAAGCCCGAAAGCCTCCCTTCTCTGCCGACATCCGGTTAAGGGTTTAAGGGTTTAGGATTTAAAGGGCTTAGCAGACCCAGAGCCTTCGTTTGGGAAGTCTGGAAGTCATCTCCCCGGACCACAGGCAGGAAGTTAAGGCTTTCCGAAGCGCCTCAGGCTTCAGAAACCCCCTGGGTATAGATCCCCAAACCCTAAACCCTAAACCCAAGAAAGGACCCCTGGTCTAGATCCCAAAAGAGAGCAGAAGCCTGAAGTCGGGGACACCCGGAGCACACCTTTGTTTGTCACGTTGCCATCTGCAAGCGACCCCCTCGTTGATGCTTAGACTGGCCAAGGTTTGAAGAGTATCTGAGCACCGCAGAGGCTGAGTGAGTTTCGGCCCTTGAAAGATTTAACCCCCGAAGGCTGCCTACCGGTAGATATTGCAAGCAAAGGAGTTCTTGAGAGGTCTAGGCTAGCGCCCTTTCCATGACGGCAATTTGAGGAATGCTTCGGACTTCGCTGGTGACCCTGAGCCTTCGGGAATCTGTAAGCTGAATCATGGGATTCTCACCGCTGCGTCATATCCGTGTGTTACGCCGGCTCAGGCCTGTGCTAGAAAAGAGCAGACAAAAGTAGAATATACTATACTATATTACACTATACCATACTATAATATTATATATAGTATGATATACAATAGTATATAATATCACAACTGAAAGGTGCGGCTATGTGCTTAGAGCATCATCTGTAACCCTTCAACCATGACGTGCAACACACGCCACAAATGGAGGTAGGATCAAGCGACGGCTGGCGGGTACAAGAGACCGATCTGGATCAGCGTGATGCAACGATCCCTACTTCAGCGCGGTTTCGGCCCCAAGGCATAAGATTGAACAAGTATTCCGGCCGTTACTGGTTTCGCAGCTCCAACCATCGAATTGTTGAGGGTGAGCATCGCAGGATAGCTGGTAATTAGGACTTGGCCTTTTCGGGTCTGTGCTTGAAACCCTAAGCCCCCTTAATGAGGGCGAGATGAGCCATGTATGCGCAAGGGGTTGCCAGTGCCCAGAACTTCTTGAGCCATTCTTTCGAGACTTTCGACCTTTTAATGCTCAGGCTGTTTTTGTTGACAAGCCTGCGAAATATATTAAGACTGGAGCAGCGACTGAGACAAGCTATCGACTTAAACCCTCGAGCAAAAGCACAAGAAACCAAGCCATAGTTGCCAACATCACTTTGTAGGGTTCCTCGAAACCCTGTCATAATTGTCAGGGCCCCCATGCTGTACTCCGTAAGTCGCATCACGGGGCGCAGAGAGCTGAGGGAATCTCAGAGCTGGGGAGAGACCGTGTTCCAATGCGGGCCTTATATACGGATATAAAGGATATGGGGGTTTCAGAAAATAGGGGACCCTAATGTAGTACCCTAAATAATACGATCCTTATTATAAGAACCCAAAATAAGGTACCCTTGTTTTGGCAACTCCCATATAGCATCATAAACACTTGAGTCATTGCTTTTCTTGTCGCCTCCATGCGTTTATGGTATGTCATATCTCGGGATTCACGCTGCGAAGCGCAAACCTTACGGTGACTAGCTGAGAGCGTAGCTCCCTGATGGAAAGAACCGTATCGTGCGCAAGACTCAACCCCAAAAAGCTTTAAACCTGAAAACCTGCCAGGAATGTTGAGCCCAAAATCAGAACATCGGGTTTTGCCGTAGAGTTTGGGGGTCCTTAAACGGTTGTCTGAGGCTACCCGGAGGAATTCCTAACTTTGCTGACACCGGTTCTTACATTCAAGATTGCATTCTAATATAATGTGTCATACTATACTATACTAGACTAGACTAGATAACATAATATTGTACGTGAATATATCATATATAATTGTATAGAATATATTATACATTAAATAGAATACTGTATTATTATATTACACGATGTCATATGACAGTATCGTATCGTATCGTATAGTACAGTATAGTATAGTATAGCATAGTATAGTAGATGACTAAACCCTAAACCCTAAACCCTAAAACCCGACTTATGTTGACATACAACATCATCCAAGATTTACGCAGCAACCAGCCTTCCAAAGGCTCATCCCCGCTTTGGGTGAGGCAGCCGAGTGCAGAGTCCAGAGACCCACGACAGACTAATGTGGGTTTAGGGCTTATAGGGTTTAGGGTTTATAGTTTAGGGTTTAGGGTTCAGGGTCAGGGTCTGGGCTTTAGGATTCTAGGGTTAGGGTTTAGGGCTTATGGTTTAGGATCCGATGATATGGGGGCCTGAATGACAAGGCACTCACCCCAAAACCCCATTCTGGTTACAAAGGCTTCAATAGGGCAACATATGCCGGGTGTCAGGGATTTGGGTTTGAAGATTGGGCTTCTGAAGGTGTAGGCTGTCGTGCGGCTGAGGGGTCTGCAGTTGTATGGGGTTCAGGATTTGTTTTGGAATTCCTCAACGCAAGCAAGCATGAACCATCATGCGCACGCTGGTAGCGACAACAATATCCGGACTGTTATGTTTGTACTGGGGGATGGTTGATTCAACAGGCCCCGGCCAACGAAAGAAAAAGCTCAAGTAGTTTCTAACTAGCTAATCGTGATGATTCTTTGTCATCTGCTTGCTGTCATGCAGTAGATCTCCCAGTAGTTCCTGTCTTCTTCTGAAGCTCAGCCAATCCGGTTCGCCTCTCCATGACCTGACCGCTCCTTGAGACTTGTGGTACCCTTCTGGGGAAGCCGGTGAAGCCCCCGAAACCCTAAGCTCCAAACCGTAAGTTCCAAGACGCTGAACCCCAAACTACACACTGTACTAGACCATTTTCAGACTGGACTAGACGGCATTTAGACTGCTGTCGGGGCTGAAATAAGTACCAGTACTATGTTGGATGCTCCTTACTACAATTACAGTATAATGGGTCCCAAAACCCCATTCTAGTTATAAAGGCCCCTAAACCGTTATAGTGGCCCCTATAGAACCCTTTAAGGCCCCCCTCCAAAAAAAACACATATCCTACACCGAAGATCGCAGTTCATTTCGAGTCTAAACCTGGCAAGGCGCTGCGGGAGCTCGAGTGGCCCGGAATTCACTGCCAAGAGGAGCTCCGATTCGAGCTTCTTAGAGAAAGTCGTTTTGTTGCTTCTTCTTGTTGTCATCAGTGTTCTTGTTGTTATTGGCATTATTATTATTAGAAGTAGTAGTAGCCGGGGTCAGGGTTTCGGGTTTAGGAATGTCGCTGCCAAGAGGAGCTTCTTCGCTGCCTGTTTTCTGGGGGGAGCGGGGTTGGTAGAAGCGCTGTCTAAGCCTGACAGTAAGGCCCCAAGATTTTCTGGGCCGCAGAACCCCTGGAAAACCCTGGCAGCACGGCCTTCTGAGGGCTGTGGGTTTTTCCTCAAATCCGTGAACTGTTGGGCTGCTAGGGGGCTTGAACGGGTTTAGGGTTTAGTGTTTAGGGGTTTAGAGGTTTGGGGGTTTGGGGGTTTTGGGGTTTTAGGGGGCTTTTTGAGGATTTGTGTCAGGTTTTCACCGAGCCACCAGTAAACCAGCAGGCGTTGATGGGTATCGGGTACCGGCGTTCAGGATTTAGTTTAGAACTTTGTGGGGTTCAGGGTGTGGGGTGCTGGTTTTGCGGTATTGAGGTCTACCAATATACTCAATGAGCCGCAGCACTTTTGGGCTCGGTGGGCTCAAGTCGTTTGTGTAAAGGAGCCCCCCCTGCCTGGCCGATGTCTAGCGCTGACCTGGGTGGCTTGGAGCTGCCGCGAGTACGCCTGCAGATCCTGGGCGCTAGCATCTTTTGCTGGTCATGCACTTGCGTTGTCAGCCTTGTGGTCTACATGACCTTCCCCGACAAAGCTGCACTTCCAAACATGCTTCTGGCAATGGCCGTCGGGTCCATCGCGATGGTGGCAGCCATCCATGTGCTCCTCAGCGACAGATGGCAGCGTCCTTCGGAGCATGTGCAAGAACATATCTGGGCCAGCATACACGTCGGCGCTCTGATGCAGGAGGGTGTCCAGCCCAAATTTCATCGCATTCAGACGCGGACATCACATAGTGCCAAGGGGGCCCAGTCAGTCACAACGATTCTGGAGGAAGTCGATGTTTTGTGGCAGTCGCCTGGCACGCAGCAGACTTGCGTCTGCTGTCTGGAGGATTTCAGGCCTGAAGACCAAGTGTCGTTGCTACCATGTGGACATTTGTTTCATCAGAGTTGTCTTGCTGATTGGCACAGTTTGAAGAAATCGGCCCATGCATGTCCAATCTGCCGTGACAGTTGGGCGATTGTGTGACTGCGGTAGGCATTTGCAGGGCTTTCTGGCTCTCTGACATGCGCGGGCTACGAGTTGCGGCATGCTCTAACAGAGGGCGAAAAGCTGCCTAGCGGAGGTAGCCGCGTTGAGCACAGACCTGCGCATGCCTGGCCAGGGGCGTTTTGAACCCCCGATCGGAATGCATGCTGCCTGGCGATATGCACCGACCGAACCATGCTCCTGACAAGATGGAGCCTGGGCCTGCAAGTAATTCGGCCAAACTCCAAGTTCTGGCCCATCCGTTTTGTAATTTTGCCATGCAGGTGAAGTCAAGCCCCCCACAACTCGAGAGCCGCTTGAGATAGATGGGAGTTTCAGAAAATAGGGAGTGCTGTATTTTGAGGTCCTTAAAATAAGGATTCTACTATTTAGGGTACTATACTAGGGTCCCCTATTTTCGGAAACCCCCAGATGGATTTGTTGGGTTCCGGGTCTGTGCTTCGTTGTTGTGCGATGTTGAGATCGGCCTAGGCCCTCACTTGCAAGTCCCTTTCCCATGGGGTACCTTGTTTCCGGACAAGGAGTCCCTTGCCATGGACCTGACTGTCCGACGATAGAAGCATGAGGCTAAGTTTAGGTCCTACTATAGAAGCCTGCAGAATTGCCAATGCTATTCCGAAGGGTTATAGTAAATCGTACCCCACAAGCTTCTTCGAATGAAAAAAAACCCTAGACTAAGCCCTTACAGCAATCCTTCTACGGCGCACAATCGCAAGCCTATTCTAATCACAACGGCCCCCTGGAGTACGGGAGGGCTTGATAGCCTGTTGACTCTCAAGGCTTCGGTTGCTGGTTCCGGAGCTTTGAGCAGCTGTCCTCGCTTGACCATGCAAGCCAGTTGCGAACAAAAAGGTTCCGGAGCCGAAGATCTGTCAGGATTTGGGGTTTAGGGTTTAGGGTTTAGGGTTTAGGGGGGATTTAGGGTTGCAGTGGCTGTGAGGTTGAAGGGGCTTTTGCTTGGAACCCCTTCGTGGATCGAGAAGAAACGGAACGGGTTTGTTCTCGAGGTTTGTTTGAAGGCGCTGCTGTTCTTAAAGCACTTCCCCGTGAACAAGGTTTTTATTCTATGACGCGAAGCCAGCGAAAACCTTTACAAACCCTAGGACCAAGGCCTATATAAACCCCTCAAATCCACACGTCACAGGCCTCGTCTTGAGTTAGGATGAATGCGGTTCAGCGTGTGCAAACCGGTCATTCCTCCTCAACGCATAGCTTTCACCAACAACCAACCAGCACCAAGAACCCCTCCCGGCATGTCGGTGAGTGCGCAAACCGAGACCTCTCTTCTGATCGTAGAGGACAGGATGTTTTTGAGCGACTGCCATATGAGAGCTTGCAACATAACTCCGAAACTCGGGGCACCGAGCCGGTACCTGCTTAGGCTGGAGAGACTATGGGGTTTAGGCTTCGAGTTCGGGAGTTGGCAAAGAGATCAGTGGCTTTTACCCAGTGTTAAACGTTCAGGGAGGTTGGGTTTAGGGCTTGGGATTCAAGGATCCGGGGTTGTGGCATTCAGAGTTTTTAGGGAGCTTGGCAATAAACTCCTCCACTGGTATCTTGACATATTTCTAGTCTAAGAGCTCCCGAAGCCCGAGCCGAGTTATTCAGGGCTCCGATATCATTTTACCCTAACGTGGCCTTCGCCCCTGCGCCCAAATCTCTCTAAAGATCCCACACAGCCTGAGCTCCAAGACCAAAGCAGGAGCGCTCTTTCGTCTTCAGCTCGTTGGATTCGATGGGCTGCAACCTGATCACTCCGGAAGATCTTGCCTGGCTAGACAGGCGCGCTTGGCAGTTGAAGGTTCAGTTCGGAGCCTGAGCTCCCCGATGCTTGGGGGTTGAGGGCTGTTGCGGGGGTGGAGCTGGAGGTTCGAAACAAGAGCTTACAGGACCCTCAGGGTTCAAAGTTTGAGTTTGTGGCTTGGGGGGGGGGGGGGGNNAGAATCCTATAAGGTAATACCAAAAAGGAACTACTATGGGGCCTTTGGGCAAGCTTTTTCCAAAGACCGAGAAGCGTCCAGCCCTCTAAGAACTGGGTGACCTTGCGGAGTTGAGTCCCTCGAGCCGCAAGTTGGGAACTGCTTCAAAGATTCATTATACGAATACCGGGGCCTAGATAATTGCCAATCGTAGGGTTCATTGTTCTAATTTTGGATACTATTCTCAAGGTTCCTTCTTCTCATTATTATGGTATAATATTCCTCCCAATCCCCGTTCTGATTATGAAGGCCCCTACATTACACCCCAAAACCTCTGCTGACGATCAGGGCCCCCTCTACCAGAGCGAGTGACGGTGAGCAAGACAGCAACGACCCTGAAACCGCGAAGCTCCAGCCCTCAAGCTTTCCTAGGTTTTGGGATCGTTTTCAGATATTTCCCTTACGTGCTTAACATAGAGACCTAATATCATGTTTTCGGAGTTGGTAGCCTCCCAAAAGCTAGGAAACCCGCTAGACCTCCGTAGAACCCACTGAAGCACCAGTTATGAATCTTTAGAGCCGTGAGCAACCATATATAAAGCCTTACAGAACCGTATGAAACCCCTTTCACAAAAAGCTCTGCAGAGACCAACAGTAACGGACCAACAAGCCTTGCGAAAAAACACGCCATAGAACCCTATCGCAGTAAAGCTACTTAGGACCCTTTAAGCGTGCCCAATTATGGCACCTTATAGCACCTTTCAAAGGGACCCTATGGCAGAAGGCTTGTACCCTTTACAAGCGGCCCCACAAAGGAACCCTAGTACCCTCTAAGGGGACCCTATTGCAGAAGCTTGTAGCTACTACCCTCTACAGGGACTCCATGAAGGAACCTGCATAACCCTGAAGTAATATAGGGGCCTGAATATTTTTCATACGGCTTGGGGGCATATTATACTATAATTAAAATAAGGAACCCCAAAACCCTATTCTAATTCTTAACCCTAAACCCTAAACCCTAAACCCTAAACCCTAAACCCTAAAACTTAAGGCCCCTACATTACCCGTTAAAGGCCCTCCGTCAGGTGGATCCCCTCGGAGTTCCTTGCGGCAGATCCCAGCCCAACGGCCTGGGCGGACCTCAAGGCGCTCCAGAGTTGAAGCTGGTGGGTTCAGGGTTTAGGGTTTAGGGTTTAGGGTTTAGGGTTAAGGGTTTATAGGGGTTTGGGGTTTAGGGGTTTAGGGTTTAGGGTATATTGGGTAGTTCTCTAAACTAGGGTCCCTTTTAAGGGCATAACCCTAAATTACTGAAGCCCAGCCGTGCGCCCGAGCTCCTGAACCCCAAGTCGTCACAGAAAAGCCGCTTACAGGCCAATAATTAATAATATAGCCATAGGCCCCATAGAAGTTCCTAATTGGGGTTCATATTTAGAATCCTATAAGGCAATCCCAAGAAGGAACTGCTATGGGGCCTCTGGGTAATATAGACGCCTAAATAATTATCAATGTTACTGTTAGGCTTCTTATTGTAAATATACTATAAAGGAGCCCAGAATCTTATTCTAATTAAGTAAAGGCTCCTATAGCTTACTGACTATAATGTTCTCAGGTTTACAATTAAAGGCAAGGCTTTTTCTGTCCAGATTGTAGATATTCTTCAGCGTTTGCTGAGCGGGAGGTGCAGTATCCAAGGTTTGTTATTAAAGTATAGAGGTTCTAGAAGAGTTTTTTAAATCATGAGGGTTGTGTTCAGGAGATCCATGAGACCTGGCGAAGGGTTTGATCAAAGGATTTGAGGGTTTCAGGGCTTAAGGAATTGTAGATACTATTGCGGGTGGAGGACACCAGAGGGAACCTAGTACGCTTCAGGGACCTGAAGTACCCTTACAAATAGGGGCCCTATACAATGATACCCCTTGAATCCCTATAGGGTATATGAAGCCTAAACCGCCTAAACCCCTTTAGGGTTCTGTGCGTCCTTAAGGGCGTAACCCTAAAGCCTAGCAGCGCGCCCGAGCTCCACATGCTCCACAACCCCAAGTCGTCGCAGAAAAGCCGCTTACAGGCCAAGAATATACCCGTAGGCCCCATAGTAGTTCCTTTTCGGGGCTCATGTTTAGAATCCTCTCAGGTAATCCCAAAAAGGAACTACTATGGTGCCTCTGCGTAGGCCCCCAAAAATCGCGAATCTAGGCTTTCAGGATGGGCTTTTTAGGTTTTAGGTGGTTGTGTGGCTCAAGATTTTCGGTGTGCGTTTTCAAAGGCATGTAGAGCTTCAGGGTATGCTAGGGCCGCTAGGACAATTCAGCGCTTTGGCGTAGCTATATGGTATCTCTTCGTTTCGGGCTACGACACCTTGACCTTTGAAATTGACCTTGAAAGTGTTAGAGTTTAAGGCCTCGGCTTTCGGGGGTTGGGTTTGAAAGTGGCTCTGGAAACAGCAGGCTGTGGACTGAAGGCTAGAGCCGGGAGTGATGATTACTCTAGCATTTCGTGCTTCGTGCCCCTTGCATTTTATTGCTGTTTGGGCCTTCAGGGCCGCTTAGGGTGTACGTTTCGCTGTCTGCCACAGCTTGGCAGCAGGAGATCCTCGTCAAGACTTACCAGCACCCTCTGCGCGCATGGCGCATCCTGGACAGGCACTGGGTGAATGCTTGACATTTAAAGCCCTAAACACTAAACCTTAACCCTAAATCCTGAACCCTAAACCCGGCAAAAAACCCTAAATCCTGTAGGCTCAGAATCTCCGCTCCGGTAATTTTTTGTTCGGGTTCGCGACCCGGTGGAACGGTAGAATCTTGCGGCTCCCTTCAAGCTCTGAGTCCCGCAACGTCGTTCGCCTTGAGAGACACATTGACATGAGGGTCTGTATTGTGTGGTGTCGTATGCTGATGACTTGGAGCCTGACAACGGTCCTGAAGACCAAGAAAAGAACACAACAGTCATCACCATCGCTACTATTACCCCTATAGCCATCATCATCGTCTTCGTCTGCCGCAAACATGACATCGCGTTTATCGGAATTCCGCAGTACTTCGCAGGATGTAAGTAGTTCCGCATTGAGGCTCATTTGACCTACCTCACGGTGGCCTCTTTAGCTGCACCGTGTCACTCCAGGAAAAGGTAAAGGCTCAAGACACGCGGTGATGAGGCAATTCTGGGAGCTGAAAACTCAGTATCAATATTACTCTTTCCGGCTTCCTTTGGAAGTAAGTGTGTGTATGTATGCATCTATAGATACACATCCACATGCATACACAACCTGCCACAGACATACTTACACACCCACGTATATACATACGCATGTTCATGTGTGTGTATATATATATATACTTACATAAATAACCGTATGTTCATACGCACACATGTAGCTATGTTTGCATGTATTTGTAGCTACGTTCGCTACTTGATTTAACCTCGACCCCAACCCTTTTCAAGTTAATTTAGTTTGCATAGAAAGCACCCACGGGAGAAGCATCCCCGGCACGAGTCAGTCAGCAGTTCAATGCAGTGCCGCTCTTATTGCAAGGGACAACTCCAATCGCATCGCTTGGACCGAGTTCCGAGACGTTTGCAAGAAGGCCGGATAGCGAAAATATCGATGGAGATGATGATGATGATGGTGATGATGATGATGATGATGAATAAGCAGAGGCTGAGACGGAAGGCAAAGCGTAGTATGGGGAGCATGACCAAGATGACGACAGTAGCTTCGATGCGGTGATGATCTTCGTTTTGTAGTCGGGTTCACCTGATTGTCGGTGGTTGTTATCGTCCAATGAGTCCGGACTAGTTGGTTGCAGACCGGAGTACCTAGTCGCGAAAGCCTTGCTCGTTCAATGAGTCCCTAGTTGGTTGCAGACTGGAGTGTCCGTTCGTAGTCGCGAAGGGCTTGAGGTCCACATCCTCGCCGTGCTGGCAACTCGGGTCAGTGGAAGAGTCTCCGCCCTGCATCAACTTCACCATGGGGGTCATGACCGTCGCCCCTGAGCCTGACCCCACCTACTAGCACGACGATGGTAATGACCTTCATTCTGAAAACCGCACTCTGCGATGCCAACACCAAAATCATCCGTGGGTCTCTCTCCACGGTAAGGCGCGATGTCTCGGCAGAAAGCCCCCCGATCTCAAGCGATCAGAGATAGGGCCATGAAGTAAGACTTGGTAGCACATGACCATATCATCAGCGTGCAAATGCAAAAGCCGACAGAAGCGCGTGTGAAGCCGCCAAGATATGCATATCAGCTTTATCAACAGGAAGTACACAGCCACATACGCAACAACATGAATAGCCCTTATACCCAGATATGTAGTACAGTACATGTGCACATGTGTTAACATATACACCGTATTTGCACATTTGCATGTTGTTTTGCATGTACCTGTTGATGCGCACGCATGCCCACAAGGATATAAACACATACACGTAATGTACGCACTTGTATGAAGACCCTTGGCCTGGGAATTAAAAATCCACCTTAGAGGGTTCGGCCTCTGAAGGTTCACTTCACCGGAGACATAGTCGGGGCCTGGCGTATGCTTGATACTGACATGCCCGGGGCTTAAAGGAAATCGCAGCATGTTCTGCAGTTTTGCATGGTAGGTGAGGGTTATGGGTCGGGGGTTCAACAAATTAGAAGCGCAGGCATCAAGACGCAAGGAGTTATGCAACCGGTTTCATTGCTCGCTTGCTGTCTGGGGCTGGCACTTACTCCCAAACCGAGGGACTGTGGGAGTCTTTCTCTGCGTCGGCGTTTTTCTAAGTCGTCTATGCCCAGAGTACTTGATGGCATTGCGGCTGACTTAGTCCAGTTGGTGCAACTGGGAAAGCTGAAGGCTGAATCATAGTCCCTGCCTTTAGGGCACTGCACAGTTGGGCCAGGCTTTCTTTTTTCTTTATCTTGTAGACATACAAGGAAGGCCCTAGGGCATAATGCCAACCCGTCTCTCTGTGGGCTCCTGTGCATCAATAACTATGCAGAGAACAGGGGTCTAGCAACTCATAGACAGCATGTAGGGTGGAGGGTGTAGTAGGAGTTTGTGCTGTGCCGAAGTACTCTACTACTTCGAATCATCAGCGCCGTTTCAGTTGCTCGCAATGAGGCCTCATGCAAAAAGACATAGCCAAACCGTAAACCTCAACCTGAACTCACAGCCTTAGTTAGACCCGATACTCCAATCGCGTGAACACCCGAGTTGAAAAGCCGTAATCCCTCAGCAGTACACATTGAACCTCTAAGCTTTGACAAAGACTTGGCACTCAGGTCTGGCTATATCTCCATGCGTGAGTATGCCCGAGCCTCTGGATTCCTTCAGTCAGAGATCTAGCCTTAGTCATGGTAGTCACAGAAGCAGAGGGTGTGCTTCATGCTGAAGTGTCGATGATGAAGCACCATGTAACGTATTGCTACCGCTGTGACCTCTTATTGCCGGCAGCTTCTCGTTGCTTCCAGACCATGTCTTTTGTCACTTGCACCATTCTTTGTGTCATCACCTAACCAGGGGCTTACATTGCTGTAATGCTCGATTGCTGCACTTGGCTCATGTTTGTGCATCAAGACCCCACAGCCATGCAGCGCATGCTGCCAGGATCCCTCCAGCGAAGAGCTGCTCACCTCCTTCAAGGCGGGCTGTCCAAATTGGGAGTTTCCGAAAATAAGGGGTACCTTGTTTTGGGGTCCTTATAATAAGGATCCCATTATATAGGGTACTATATTAGGGCCTATTTTCGGAAACCCCCAATTCACTCTCAGTAGCCTTAGTCTGCTCAAATCACCTTCGACCTTTCGGGTCCTGCACACTCCTACGATGGCTAAAGCTTACCGATAGGCCCCATAGTAGTTCCTTTTGTGGGAAACCTGATAGGATTCTATATATGGACCCCAAAAAGGAACTACTGTAGGGCCTATGGGTAAGCATGGTTTAGTGAAGCTTTTATTTCCCTAAACCCTAAACCCTAAACCCTATTATTGTTGTCCAATAGGTTTTGCCAAATGAACGAGGAAGGCACCTCTCCTCACCCGGCGCCTGCGCTCGAAGTCCACTGTAGTAATGCTACGCCCTCAGCCCTAAACTCCCTAAATCTTAAACCGAGCAGAAGGGAGCAGCAAAGGGATTGAGCAGCCCGAAGCCCTAAACCCTAAAACCCTAAACCCTACACCACTAAACCCTAAGCCCTAAAACCCTAAGTTTTGGGGTTTTGGGTTTGGGCAAGGTACAAGCCACAGGATTCACACTTTCGAGATGCAAGGTTTCAGATCGTTTGGTGACCAGCAACCAAATACTTTAAAGCAATCGTACCTGCCATATATATATATATATATATGTTCTTGGAAAGGTTCCACAAGCTATGGCTGTTTCGGCGATAGGTGTTTTTTAATTATCAATATACAGGCGCTCCCTACCAAAGTCAGTGAACGCACAGGTTTTTGAAGAGCCTTACACCGCCCTATTAGGGGCCTTGTAGAATCGTAGAACCTGCGAAACCTCTCTCTCTCTCTCTCTGTGTCTAGCATCGCTCAAAGGCTTAAAGTTGAGCGAGTGGCGTAGTGCACGCCGCAGCCGGTTGGAGCTTCATAAACCCGACCGCTGCCCCCCAGAGCGGAAGCCCCTGCCTAACTGGGAGTTTCCGAAAATAGGGGGTACCTTGTTTTGGGGTCCTTGTAATAAGGATCCTACTATTTAGGGTATCATATTAGGGTCGCCTATTTTCGGAAACCTCCAAATCGTAAGCCGAGCGGCCGCTGCAGGAATGGGCGGACTCCAACTTCGGCTCCGTTCGTCACTGCTTCAAGGCAGGGGTACTTGGAGGTTTGGGTTTAGGGTTTTAGGGTTTCGGGTCTACTTGGAGGTTCATGGGACTTAGTAAGTACAGTTATAAGTACCTTAATTGGGGTTATAAGTAATTATAAGTATAGTTACCTTATTTATAGCCCCAGTTACTAAGTCCCATGAACCTGTGAGTAGGGAAGTAGCAAGGGGCCCCCGGGAGAATTTTGAAGGATTGTTGGGGGCGGAAGGCTCTGGATCTCCAGCGTGTAGATGGAAGAAGCCTTCGGCCTTAATCACTAATCCTCAAGCTTATAAACCCTGGGACCTTGAGAGCCCGAAGACCTGAAGTAGCCTTTCAAAGTCCTGAAAGCTTGCAGCCCCGATGCTACATCCTCGTCATTTTGCATGTTCTCCGATGTTCCCCGAAGGTCTGCACCCGAATCACCCGGGAGCCTACAGTGTGGCCCGAGAGCATGAGCCCTTCACCCTGATCTGGGAGTTTCCAAAATCACAAGTGGTACCCCCTATTTTGGGGTCCTTATGGTGAGGATCCTACTATTTGGGGTGCTATATTAGGGTCCCCTACTTTCGGAAACCCCCATCTGGACGTTTTCCTTGCATGGCGAAAAGCGGCTTCTCAAGACACCTTTGTGTGTTGTGGGGTTTTCAATCCACCAGCTGCGCTTGTCACCGCAACTTTCAACCAACCGCCCCGCTGTCAAGGCTTTAGACAGCGACCGAAGTGGGTCAGTTACCTATGCCGAGCTCAAGCGGGCCTGTCACAAGGCGGGCGCCGGTACAGACACTTGATGGAAAACATGGATTCAGGTGTAGGGTTTTGGGTTTGTGACGTTGGGTTTTTGGGAATTTCGGTCTCGAGGGCTTTGTCGGTGCACTGTCGGTTTCAGGCTTTCGCAGCTTGGGGATGCCTCAGGGTTTGTGAAGTTGGAGGATTTAAAGTCCATCGACATCCCGCAACATCCGGCGGCGCGATTCCGCACCCGCTCGAAGGCCTGAAACCGAAACCCTGGTCCAAGATCGGGTTGAAGCTGAGGAAATAGGGCCACCCAGAGGCCCCATAGTAGTTCCTTTTCGGGATTACCTTATAGGATTCTAAGTATGAACCCCAAAAAGGAACTACTATGGGGCCTATGGGTAGGGCCATGGCCCAGACAGCACCGGAAGTTATGGGAATCATGCTTCTGCTAGTCTGGCCATGGCAGTCAGCAACCATCCTTCTGTTTCTTACAAAGCATTGTTGCTAGGGCTGGGGTCTTTCCATTTCTCTTAACTTCGATGTTGAAGAAGCAGACAAACTTAAGCTTTTCGGGCCCAAATCCCTGCTTCATTGGCTTTCTTCTTATAGAAGAAGGGGTGACAGGAACGGAGCCTTTCCTTTCTGAACCCTCAAGTGCAAGGCAGAAGCAGTGCCCAAAACCATTTACAGCCTTAAAGCCCTGCGCTTTCAAAACCTGCCAGAGTTCCTAAACCCTAAAGCTCTAGGCCCCAGAACCCAAATCCAAAATCCCAGAACCAAAGGCACCAATTCTCAATGGGGACTGGATGGGAACACCCTAAAAACAGAGACTTAAAAGCTGCCCTACAGACATATACAGACATCCGTCTCAGCCTGTTGGCAGATGAAGTGGATGGGCAACGTGCGCACGTTGTTCGACTGCCTCGACCTGGATTCCGCAGACCGGTTGGTGACTTACGGCAGTGACTAAGCACGACCCCAATAATACCAGGATATTTTTTGGCCACTAATGCTGCAACGATTGTGATTCTCTCTTCGTCCTCGTCGTCGTCATCACCACCACCCAAATCATCGCCGTAATCATCACTGTAAGCATCATCACTGTTTCAATTTGTGTGTTTGCTGTTGCTGTTGTTGTTTGTCCTGTAGTAGTTGTTGTTACTACTATCGTCATCATCATCTTCATCTTCATCGCCACCAAAGATCACTATAGGACTGGTTGCTGGAATAGTGCTGACCACTCGAAACTGTGTCGTCAACAACCATAGACTGCTAGGACTGCCACAGCGACGACACGTGACCATCAACAACGAAGAAACAGAACGCCACCGCTAGAAGTGACAACAAATCTACCGCCCCCGCCCATCACCAAAAAACAAGAATTCGAGCACTTACATATTTGTTACAGGGGCTGTACTCTTTGTATCCCATGGACACGCAATTCCAAAGCCGCAACATCGAAAGCAGTGAACCCTAAATCCCCAGACCCCGAACACCAAAATCCCAGAACCCTAAACCCTAAACCGTAAACCTGCAGCTCGCGCTGGAGTTCCATCACTTCTTTCCCTGAGGCGGAATCGGGATGCTGCGACGGGAAAGCGGTGCCGGCCCCACTGGGCTTATGGGGTATCGTATAGTTCTGGTATGTAGGAACCACAAGAGTAAGAGGGATGGTACTCCAAATTATTCAACCTCTAGGTTGGGCGGAAGGACTTGAGGCTTCAGGCACCTCGTTTCATTGCGTCGATGCTGGAAACGGGTCTTAACGCCCCCAGCCCCGCTGTCGTCCAAGAGGCGTTTAAATCTCCAAAAACTCCGGGATTCAAGGCTGTCAAGGCCTTGCGGACTTTGGGTGCCTTACGTTTGAATCGTATGTCTTCATTGCCGGCAGAAGCCTCGGCCACAACTGGAAATCCCAAGCCGAAACCCTGGTCCCGGCTGGGCAACTGTTTCACCTCAATCCCTTAATATTCTCCGCAAGAAGCTTCGAACCCTCGCTGCCGCAAGCCTGAGCTCTTACACCAGAGCCCTGCGGGTTAAAACCGAGATCCGCAAAGCCGCCCCAAAAGCCAAAAGCATCCAAGCTTAACAGTGCGTATTTAGGGGCAGGCATGACTACAAATATGATTCCTTTGGGTTTTACAGTACTCATACGATGATATGCCCAAAGCCACCCTGTCAACCATCGGCCAAGGGCGATCTCGCTAGAGGAGAGCTGTGCGGAGAGATTATGTGGCTTCAGAAACCTAGAAAGCTCCCTTGTCTAGCGAGTCCTACTGTTGGGGGTCGGTTTTAGTTGGAGTCTTTGTGGTGAAAAGTTTCACGTTTACAACGCATCGATTTAGCCTTTTCTTGCACTGAGAGGCTTCTTGTACGTAACAATAACAGAGGTCGTCGTATTCAAAACCTGGGACGTCTTGAGAACAGGGATCTTGGTACGTGGATTTCAGTTTCGTTTGGGATCCCTTGTTTTACAGAATGCTCTCATTTAGAGTTCGTACCGTACGTTCCCTTTGTCTCTTTGTCCCTGCCGCTCATGATGTTTCATCTGTGTAGAAAGCCAGCTATACTTGAGGCTTACCTTTCTACATCGCGAGTTTGTGATAGCAAGTAACGCATGTGAAACCCGAAGTCTCGGCTCTCGTCCATCAAAGCAGACTTTCAACGCTATGATATTCGATCGTTACTCATAAAAAGGGACCCTAATGTAGAGAACTGCCCATATGTAGTTGTTGAAATGAATGTTCCTCACTTGCGGTACATGAGACAGGGAATTTAGATGATGTTTCACGTTTAACTTTCTTGGCTGAGTTCAGCTGTTGAAGAGGATGTCGGCTTGGGCTTGAGGGCTTCGAAAGCGATATTGGGACCCAAAAAGGGACCCATACACAGCCGTTTCCGTCCTTCGAAAGCCCTGCATAGAAACCGTGAAACCCCGCTACGTGTGAAGAGGAGATCGCGTTCTTGGACACCTGGCACGTGGAGCCCCGGCCGGAGCTGGCCAAGTTCGAGGACTGGGCAGCAAGGTCCAACAACAACGGCTTAGGGCAGTTTAGGGCTGTATAGGGTTTCTAGGGTCCTTAGGGTTCAGGGTTTAGATTTTAGAGGGTTTAGGGTTTAGGGTCCTTGGGTTCAGGGATTTGGTGTTTGTCGCAGTCTTGCAACCGTTTAAACATATTGGTCTCTTTTCCCATGTCGCCTCGGTCTGACAGTTTAGCCTGTGAGTTCCATGTGCTTCGGGGAAGTACCATAAGCTATAAGCGGGCTAATTAGGCATAATTTGGTGGGTCCGGGTTCAGGGATTGGCGCCGTATTCTGTTGGGTCTGCGGCTTCGGCGGTTGATGCTTGTGAATTTGGGTGTTGGCTTCGGGGCTGAGGCTGCACAGCAGGGTACAGGGCTGATGCGCAGGCTTTCGATACCGGGCAAGTTTCGGGTGGAATGCATTTGTACGTTAGCTAAAGTCTTCCAGGCGGTTGCCCACTTGGGCTCTGCTGCGAAACCATTCAACCCGGGAGGGGCGAGGTCACAACAGCTGAAACGCTTCGGTACCATGCAGCAGTGAACCACGAGAGGCTGAACCAGCTCGCAAACAGCCACTGCAGAAAGCTGCCGTTAGAAGAACGCTTGTTGGTCGGGTGCCCTAGGAACCGCCAACCTGCCGAGCGCGGCTTGACATGTCAGAAACACCAGATGTTCGAGGGCAATTCCTGCCCTTGCCGTGGCTCGGCCAGCTTCTTCACGACGAAGACAAGGAAACTGTCACTTGGAAGGCCGCACCTGCGTCATACTCCGGCTTGTGCCCACAGCACCCAAGACAAGCTCCTGTTCACACTACCATGGATTGGCAGAAAGGCCTTAAAAGCCACCAGATCCAAAGTCGCAGGGGAACTTCACTCCGCGTGGCGCGCTTCAGGTCTTTTCTTGCAAAGTGCTTCCCCGCGGCGACAGTCAACGTGAAGAAGTTCAAGCTTTTCCTAAGCTTATTTTTCGAATGAAAATTCAAGAAACACCGGCTTTCCCCATTAATCAAAATAGGGCGAAAACGAAAGTTTTCCAACAAGCATATAGCGAAAACTTAACATGTCTTGGGAAAGGTTTCAAGAACATACAAGTAGCAGAAGTGCTTTAGATTTCAACATTGAAGGATGAAGACAATGGAGGCGTTTACCCCTTGTACACACAGAACCAAGCCAGAAAAACACAACCACCCCAAAAAGTCTCAAGCTAATTTTGCGCCTGATGCTCAGCCCACTAAACCTTAATGTCTCTCGAACCTTACACCCTCAACGGAATACGTCCCAAACCCCAGAGCCTAGTGAGCTGCAGTGCCTCTTGGCTTTCATATAGCGAAGCTTCCTGAGGTTCATGGGGATTCGAATATGTTGAGGTCTTTAGCAACAAGTGTAAGTGTATTCATCACGAGTCTACATGCGTGAAGTAGCTGTGATAAGTCGAGGATCAGCTGGCTGAGTTGGAGGCAAGCCGCGTGCAGAGCCAAGTGGTGTTCCTTTTGGCTCATATCCTTGACCCGTACTGGTAAGGGTCCTGCAAAGTCTTCAGGCTTGTTAGTATACGTATGTCTGCAGGACCAAATGAATCCCAAAAAGCTGCAAGATTCATTCCCGCGTTAAAGTTGGTAGAATAAGATGTAAAAGTGTGTTTGGGGTTTCGGTTTCAGTTGAGGGTCAGGGCGCAGTCTCTGCAGAGTGCAGAGCCCCTTAGCCGAAACATAAACCCTACCTTGACCCCCAAAAGCCCACTTTTTAAAGCACTCATATAAGAAAACCTTAGTAGCACTAAAAAGGTAGGTTATTTGGGGTCAAGGTAAAGCTTAAACTGTCAATCCCAAGAAGAATCGAAAGCGTTCTCGGGCCCTCACGCACGGGCCTTCGATCCGAACCTCCTCGCCTGCAGAGCCCGAGTTGCGAGCGTCCAAAACCAGAACCCCAAACCTCAGACTGTAAAGCCGTGGTATCTGTTTTAATTAAAAATTAACACAACGAAACCCCCTAAACTTTAGAGCTTTGGTATAGAGGTCTGAATGAGTTGGCACAGCATCCTTTGTCAGCACATGTTGATTTTTGTATGCCCTCATCAAGTACACCAATCCCCGCTCCAACCCGCTGCAACCTTATTCTGAGTGTTGAGGCCCCGATCAGAAACTCTCCAGGCGAATCTCAAAACTCGATAATGCTAAAGCAAGTCAACCTTGTAGCCCCCAGAGCCGAGAAGCCCAAATATGCAGCGCTGTGAATATTTAGTACAAACATCCACTTCTGGCCACTCCACAATTTGTATGTTAATAGTGTCCAAAACACTTCATTTATTGGCCCTTAAGAACCTTGCAAGAAACCCCTCAGGGACGTAGTCTGAGTATGAGTCACTGTTTAAAACCCCTTCCATAACACCCGAGCAAATCTGATTAACCCCCGTATAGGATCCTTGACGGAGCCTTTGTATTGATGCCTATGCTACCTATATCTTGAACCATTACGGCGCAAGCTTGCCTTGCTGAGTTGCTCACTCGCGAGCGGTTGCGGCCTTGGACTACAGCTTGGGAAGGGGTGGTTCATGACTGTCATAATCTGTACTGTACGATTGTCTGATTGTCATTTTTTGGGGTTTGGTATGGGTTGCTTGTAAACTGTTTTGTCGAACTTGCCAATGCTTGTTTGTAGTCCTTCTGGCATTATTATGCGGATTTCTCCCGGCTACACAATAGGAAAGGGTTGGTAGTGTGCAGCGCTTAGAGAATCAAGAGCCTCAGGAGCTGTGGCTGCAGGTTATGTAGCGGGCATCGCTGCGTAGCATGCAAATGCTAGGCAGTCAGCTCTTTTTGGATTAACCTTGTCTCGTATCTTTATTTGCTTCGCATCGCTTCTATCGAGGATTGCCGTAGTTTTGCTGTACCTGATACTGTTCTTCCCACTACATGTGCTCTAATGCCTCCTCAAATTTCAGCCCATCGTCTTGCTTGCCCTTGCGCAGCGAGACCCGATGGGATGGCGAGGGCCCACGCCCTCAGCCCCAACAACCTACACCCTCGATTCGTACAGCTCTTAAGCCTCAAAACCACATAACCCTGTAGCATCTCAACCCTACAGAGCGCTCAATCCCAATGCCCTTGCATCCTAGCCCCCCTCCCTCTGCCCTACAGCAGTCTTCCGAGGCTTTTGCAGGAAAAGACGCTTCGTTGGCCGCTGAGAGCTCTGCAACTCCCGGCCGAGGGTGCGGGATTTAAACTTTGAGCTTCAGGGGCTTTCGAGCGTGGTTTGCAGGGCTTCAGGCGTAGAGGTTGTCCACGGTTTAGGGATTTCTTCTGCGGCTTTTGCGCTTTAGAGTGCAGGGGTTAAGTAAGTAGCGTTTCATGCTATAAAGTGTTGGGTTTGAGGCAGATTTTGGGGTGGGGTGTTGGGAGGAACGCATGATTAGCGACTTCGAGTCTGGCTAGGTACACATTGCAAACACACCAACATTTTGGGGTTTCAGAAAAGGTTCAGATGCTTAGGGTTTCTGCCACGAGTACGGCAGCTCTGAAAATCAGGCAGGCATGTACAAGTCTGTGCTGAGAGTATCGCTTCTTTGCTAGCTAGTATGCGGAGATCGTCATAGAGCACCCCGATCTTGCCGAAACTTGCGCAAGGCCGGGAGAGTACAGAGCCGCTCTCCTTACAGCAGACTGGGTTCTGGAAAAGGAATAGGGACCAGGGAGCCACCAGACAGGTGGTAAAGACCCCTCTTTGCTCTCCCGTACACCAACATGCAAGCCACACGAACGGGCCCTGACGTCAAAACCCAAAGCCCTAAACACGGAAGCTCCAGAAACACCGTAAAACCCTTCGAAATCTGCCTTCTCTCCTTTCTACCCGGACCCTCCTGTTTTGGGCCATGGCCCTGCCTTCCCAAGACCCCGCAAGCCCTGTACCGATGTGTGCCGAGTTCGACGTGTCCGAAAAGGACGAAGCCAAGACGCCAGCTGCCAGCCTCGAAATACAGGGGATCTACACGGCTTATAGGGTTTAGGGTTTAGGGTTTAGGATTAGCCTGTTGCAAAAGGGTTTAGGATTACAACGGTTGCTCTAAAGGGTCCGAAAAGGGCTACTATAGAGCTGTCCGGGTGGATCTTGACATCTTTTTTGTTTGGAGTTGTTGCAGGTTTTGGTGTTTGGGGTTGGCTTTGGGGTGTAGAGTTTAGGTTTCGGCGGCTTATGGTTATCCGTTCGAAAAATTTTACTCAAGGTCGAAGGTTCTGACGTTTTGGACATAAACGTTTGGCTCTGCCATTTTGCTGACTGGTTTTGTGCGTGATCTTGTCAAAGGCTCTTTTCGTGTTCGGCGTAGTGGCTGCCGGTTTGCCCACCATCCCCGGGTTCAGTGGATCAGCTTCGTGGCCTGGGGTCCCATATCTGTCAGTATTGCACAATACTGCACAACACTGCAAGAAGACAGATATGAAGAAACAACATGTTCGACTCGTCGTGGCTCCCTTAACGCTCCGTGGTGACTGGAGCTGTTTTTCTAATCAATGCAGCTGCATGTGGGTCCGCGGGGTGCAGTATAACACATCTATGTACCGGTTGCAGGGTTCGTAGATGAAACCTCTCCGCTAGCTCAACGGTTCCATAATATCTAAGACTGCTGTCTGTCCCTGGCTGCTTTTCGTTGCTAGCTGCTAGTTGGAAGGCCCAGAGACTGAAGAAGTATTCCTGCATTCAGTTCTTGGGTTGATATTCCTACCAGAATTACCAAAAGTCTCCATTGTATTTCCTTTTTTGGGGTTTACCAATTATATATTAAGGATTTTATAGGGTATCCCCAAAAAGGAACTACAATGGAGACCATAGGTAGGGTTTAGGAGGTTTGGGGTTTGAAGAACTGGAATGGCTCAAGATCTGGTAGGCGATGTTGTGGTTCTGTGGTGAATTGCACACCCTATCATTCGAGCAGGGCTTCAGTCATTCCACAAGTATACGGGATTTTTCAAGGTAGTAGAACATTAAGAGTTTCTAAGCCTCCCATCCTCGATCATGCCTGGCCGCATTCATTGGACGTTTCAATCTGTAGACCATCAAAGGTTGAAGAATTTACGCCATGCCAGAGTTTCCCCGCTAGGTATGCAAAAAGTACTTGGGGGTCTCGCGCCCCGTAGACCAGTATCCACCTTCGGCTTGCTGAAGTGTTAGGCCGTGCTTCCCGTGGTTGCAAGTAGCTGAACCTTAGTCTAGGACATTTTCAGGT